GCAAAAACAGAAGCTGCATCTGAATCCTGGCTGCCTAATGCAGTCTGCCTACTTCCCTCAGGAGGTGCCCATGAGGTGACAGAAAGTCAACAGCAGTCCCCCACAGTCCCTGGCTCAAAAGTGCCCTCCTCAATTGTGATCACTTACTTGGTGTATTCAAAATAATAGCTTCACTTCTTACAATAATCCTTTGTGGAAAAAAAAAGTACCTCAAGGCTTGGGACACCGTAACACCTCTGGGGCTTATCAAATAACAAGCTGACAGGATATCAGATGATGGATTTATCTGGTCCATCGTTGCCTATTTGTCTGATTTGGATTTCAGCTTCTCTACGAAAATGATCCAGATGTATCCTGTGCTGAGGGACCTGTTTGTTCACACACTGAGCTCTCATTCTTGCCAGATTTCACAAAACAGGATGGCTCCGCGGAGGGGCAGCATTTCACAAAGGTAGGGATTACAGAAAGAAGTCTGCCAGCCTCTCCGTGGGAGACCGTTCACCTCTAGCTCAGCCACAAAGGAGAATAAAAAGGAAGGTTGCTTTAATCCTCCTATGCCAGGAGAAATTCTGAGGTAGCTCAAACGCTGCTGCCGTTGCTGCTGAGAACCGAGGCCGTGTGTTTGTAGGTGGGGGTGGCGAGAGGGTGAGGAGAAGACAAGAAAACCTTCTGCTTGGATCAAGTACTCAAGATTGTTTTTGTTGCCGAGAATTCTGATAACAAATACAGACGTGGCCGCGCTCTGACTTTGAGATGTTCAGGAAGCTCCATTTCTGAAGAGCCCAAGATACACAGTTAGTTACACTGAGGATATTTAATAGAACTTTATTAAGTTTGTGCATATATCATCCTAAAACACCATGCTGTGAGAAACAGTGCGAAGGATTTTGCTATATAGATGAAACAAAAACTCTAGGTTTTCCCTATTTAAAAAAATATATATAACAGATTAGATGAAAAAATCTGTTTGAACACGGAGGCAGTTCAATTTTATTTTAGTACCTTTGCTATATGATAGTCCATAACTGCCACAGTGGCAACACCAATTTTACTTTCTTGCTGCTTGTACGGAGACCCTAGGTGGTGCAAAGTTAACGCACTCAGCTGCTAACCGAAAGGTTGGAGGTGCGAGTCCACCCAGGGACACCTCGGAAGAAGGCCTGGTGATCTACTTCCAAAAACTCAGCCATTGAAAACCCTGTGGAGCACAGTTTTTCTCTGACATACATGAGGGCACCATGTGAATCAACTCCATGGCAACCGGTTTACTGACGGACACGTTGCTGTCGGAAGTGATGGCTTCGTGTAGTGCGTGTCCATTGCACTGCTGGACAATCTGGGTGTGTCTCTTTGTTCCCACTGACTTTATAATAACCTGGTCTAGGACGGCGGCCGTAGAAATCATCTGAAAGGAGAAACTGGGCCAGTCGTCAGGGACACTCTTCAGTGACTCAGTCTAAAGAGATAACCAGTCAGTCTATGCCAAGGGGAGAATTTCGACTCTGTGTGCATGATGGGTGCCTGGATGGTACCTTTCTTCTTCCCCCACCTTCTCAGGTTACTATTGTAGTTCCTGTGATACAGTCAGAAAACCGCGTGTGTTATTTACCCACGTGCACCATGGTGAGAATTTGTGACTCATCCTCCATATCAGGTTTTCAAAGATATACTCATGTGCTGCAGATAAAAACAATATGGATTAAAGAATCTATATTAGCCACCAGCCACTCCTTGGAAACCCTATGGGGCAGTTCTACTCTTGTCTTATAGGGTCGCTATGAGTCAGAATTGACTGGACGGCAATGCATTTGGTTTTGGGGGGGTTTTACCATCTATAAGGCTAACTTAGAAAGGCTAGTAAAACCGAAGATGCCATAGCTTATTACCAGGAGAATCCGTTCATGAAAATGAAATGTGTTTGAAATGATGATCTGTTAGTGACAAGGTCTATGAAACAGGACAAGAAACAAAAAACGACCCAACTCATATACTGGAGTGTGGAGCAGATAATGATGTGGAGAATTTCAGGTTGCCATGGAGACGTTCTCTGGCTCATTGGCTGTGATGCTGCATCCATCAGAAGCCACCATTCCTTCTTGAGCCCAAAATGAATTCAGTGCTGTTCAAGGCGGATTTGTTTACCTTCTGCCATTTGCCTGAAACTACAGAGTGAGGAAGATCACAGAGGGCTAGAGCATGGTCCCTGCTGAAAATGTACGGTGGAGAAGGTTGCTCACATGCAGTGACTGTAGCGCCATACGGCTCAGAAGGCAATTAAATGCTCAGAAGTGTGTTGTAAATGAGAAGTGCTCCGTGAGATTAGGAAGAACAGAGATGAGCATGGATCAGCATTACCAGGAAGGGCACATGGTAATAGAACTTGAGGGATGGGTAACATTTGTCTCATAGTAGGCACTCAGTACTCAATAACTATATGTTCAGTTAATGAATGAGCAGAATCCCTGTGTAGTACAAGCAGTTAATGTGCTTGGTTGCTAACAGAAAGGTTGGAGGTTCAAGTCCACCCAGAGACACCTCTGAAGAGTGTCCTGGTGATCTTCTTCCAAAAAAATGTAACCATTGAAAACCCTCCGGAGCACGGTTCTACTCTGTCACACATGGGGTTGTTGTGAGTTGGAGTTGACTCCATGGCAGCTGGTTTGAATAAATGAGCAGACTTTGGTGAAGGGTAAGACAATACACAATCCTGGGGAAGCCAGCACAACTTGTACAAGGAAAGGTCATGGAAGCTCCATAGAAATAAATAAATAAATAACTGAGCAGAGAGGAGAATGTTCCAAGCTGGAGGAAAAGGGTAAGCAGACCTTCTCAGAGAGGGATAGCATGTTAGCAAGACGGTGGAGAAACCTCCCAGATCATGGTGGAGGTCCTTGGTAAGCAAGTGTGGTTAAGAGAATCAGTCAAGACTATGGGGGGCCTTGAGCTGAGATTTGATCTCATGGGCCCTAGAGATTGATTTTATACCTCTGAGCAGGATGGTGATGTAATGAAAGCCATGTTTTGTAAACGTCGGTCAAAAGGTAAAGCTCCAGACAGATTGGAGGGGAGAGTGAAACTAGAGGCCAAGGATTATGAATAGTGATAAAAGCCTAGATTTGGGTGGTAGATGTGGTCATTGAGAAAAAAAGAGGAGAATGTTTTGAAGGAATCACGCATAGCATTTGATAACAGGGGGTTAAGGACCGATGAAGGTATCTGAGCTCCTCTCCTAAACAAATTAGCCCCTGGACCCAAACTACAGTTCAGGGACCAGATCTGGGCTTGAGCTAGAGAGGGGCTCTAGTCTTCCACTTTAGGGTATGAAGCGAAAGTGTAAATAGTGTAAATTGCCAGAGTCGGAATCAGAGCAAACAGAAAATCAGTATGTGTGGACAAAGGTCAAGACGTGGACAGAGAAGGAAAACCCACCATGTAAAGGCACTAGGAGGACACTCGAGTGGAGGAAGTGTGGGTACCTAGAAGATGAACTAGAGGAAGCAGAGCCGGGAGGTGCAGGGTCTGCCTGTGAGGAGACCTCAGGCCTCACCCACCAATGAAAGATGAGTGGAAGTTTGCCCACCTGAGTGGTAGGAAGAACAGTGAGAGGGTGATGAGCCCAGGATGTGGAGTTTAATTGTACACATTAAGGAAATGCTGCAAATAGGTTCCTCGTTTCTTCCTTGGAAAAGTGAAATATTCTCAGCGTGTTTCCACAGCACCGACAATACTTTATGGAGAAGTAAGAGGCAGAAAACCAAGGTCCTTTTCTTGCTTTAGTGACTGTGAACCAAAGCTAATTATTTACTGCGATTCTGGTTTGTTTGCTTGTTTCGTTAAAACCATTAAAATGAGGGTAATCATTCTGGATTACAGTACCGTTGTCATGGATTGCATTTTTTTTTCCCTAAGCATTTTGACCTCTTTGGATAAAGAAATGCTCTGACTACCAAGTAGTAAACTAAGGGAAAAGATCCATTAGAATCTAAAATACGGCAGTGGAAAATGAGCTTGTAACGATATGTTGAACAGTCCACGGTAACATCACCACTCACGTCATCAGCCCCGTTCAGGATGGGAGATATATCAAATATGTCCTGACTTATAGTTGATATTCATGCAGAGGTTAGGTTTATTGCTTACCAAAAAAAGCCATAATACAAAAAAAAGTTTATGCAGATAGCACCTAAAGTAAGTAGATTTAAAAAAAAAAAATCTATCAGACTAAGCATTTAAAGGTGCTGCCTGGTGAGTGGCTTAGCGTAGCCTGGGGTCATGACACCTGCTCAGATCAGTCTCTGGATGAATTACCTTTATCTCCCGACAGCGCTGGTGCTGGCCGGGGTTATTTGATAATGCACCCGTCTGCCAGTAATGTTTACCAGCTAGCTGATCATGACTCTAGAGAATACATGGCACGTTTGCATGGTTACAAGGTAGATATCGTTCTACAATTAACTTCATTACAACTGGAAAGTGATCATCCAGCATCACCTCTTTTCATTTTTCACCGTGAGCCTTTAAAATAATTAAATGTATATACCTACAACTATAGGTGCCGTTTCTGCATATAAATGACACTTATTTTCCTAAGGATGCATAAATATACTTACCCTGTTCATATCCATGCAATTCTTCTGAGGTATGCTTACAATCTTTACACTAAAAAAGGGATTGTGTAAATATTGTGTGAAATAGGATTTTTTTTCACTTGCTTTCTTAAGCATGCAGGAAAAATCTGATTCACCAATGAGGCACTGGAGGACCATGTGGCAGCCACTGTACGTGTAGACTCTGCATATATGTGGGGTGTTTCGAATTGATAGCTTAGGAGAAAAATAATCATGGTATTTTACATATAGGCAGTAATTTGGAAATGCCAAAAATACTCGATGCCATAGTAAGCAAGGTTTTAAAATTGTGCTTCAGCAAAAGGAAAGAATGTTTTCAAAAGATCTTGCACCTAAGCAATAATGCCGTTTAATATCATTCTCTCCTTGTAGGCCACGCAGTGCAGATTATTTTATGCAAGAAGCTAAACGGATGAAGCATAAAGCAGATGCAATGGTGAGGCTCCTTTCTTTCCAGATATGTTCTTCCAAATTATGTTTGTACTGCAGCTTCATCGTTGGGGCAGTATAGCTGGGGTAATTATAAAATCTATTACAAGGATGCCTGGGTCTGTTAAATGGAGAAATGTTTATATAATCAAGTGTTCATAGCCCAATAAATTATGACTTCAACCAATAATGTCTGACTGGGAGAAAGCCCTCGGTAAATGAGTATTTCGATTTTGTCATAAGGTTTGAATGGTAACTAGAACCAGTGGAGTCAGTGGGAGGTAGTATATTTTTCCTTTAAAAAAAAAAAAAATCTCAGTTTGTATTTTTCTCTCTTGTTATCCTGGCCAACCCTTGGCTTGGTCCCAGGGTCAAATCCCTTTTCATAAAGACTATAGTGTTCTTCATGTGCATCTGCCAAACATCTGAAACTGGACGACCACAGAAACTATTATACTGCGCAGGATTTGATGTTTTCAAAGAATATCTTTTCTTATTTGGTTAATCTCCTATTTTGGAAAGCTCGAAGCTCTCAGACAAGAGATAGAAAACGTCTGGGGTTTTTTTTTTTGGTTTTGTTTTTGTTTTTTTCTAAAAGAGATCATATAGTTCTTCCGTCCTTAGGTCTCTTTCAAAAGGGCTCCTTCCCACCTGGTAATTCCGGCTCTGGTCCCCTCCAGCATTCATAACTGAGATCAGGATGCTGGAGATGAATAAGGCATTTCAAATGACCTTATTCCAGCGTTGAAGATGCTTAAACCATAACAATGTCCCTCTCCCAATTGTACAGATCTTACTGTCCAAGCATTTATTTTGTATGAAGATCACTGTCTAGGTACATGGGGAGAGAGGAGAAAATAACCACTGAGTATCAAAGACTAGGAGTCCCTGGGTGGTGCAAATGGTTAACACACTTGGCTGCTAACCTGAAGGTTGGAAGTTCGAGTCCACCCAACACGAGGCCTGATGCTCTACTTTCGAAAAAATCAGCCACTGAAAGCCCTAGGGAGCGCAGTTCTACTCAGACACACATGGGGGTCACCATGAGTCGGGACTGATTTGATGGCAACTGATGTGTGGTGTATGTATACAGTTCTTATCCTCACAATCCCGCAGTCTAATCGGGAGTTCTGGTCTTCTCTGGAGTATAACGCATGGCCATTTTTGGAGAAGAGCATTGAGTTTTAAAGCCGAATGAAGTTCTGCCCGAATCTGTCATCCACAGTTTACAGAATTCTTCACTCACTGTCATGTAATCCAGCCCTACCTTTCTATCGATTATTCCCCAAGAAGACCACATTGTGCCGTAGGCAGGCTGGTCCGCTTCCAGCCCCCAAGCACACTTTGCTCTTGCAGCCAGCAGGCCACTGCCCCTGCAGAGCTTCGCACACTCACACACACGCTCACAACTACCCATACACCCTCAGACCTTCAGCATCCTCCCACATCCAGCCTCGTCACACCATTGCTTCCCAGCGTCACCAGGTCTGCTCTCCGAGACCTCCTCTGCCTCTCTGTAGTCCACATCACTTGCTCCTTTCCTCCCTCTCATTTGTATCTGAGTCATTTTTATGTTGTTGTTTAATCACAGACTGCCTTGCACTTTGAACTACCTTGTAAGTACACATTTTTCTTTCTCCAAATGTATTCCATGTTCTTGGAGGAAGCTTTTGTGTATCAAGCACACATAGCACAGAAGTGAGTGCTTCAGAAAATACTTGTTGAATGAAATGGCTTCTTCAATGCTTTAGTTACTGTTGGTGTAACCATATACCAGCCGCTTTTCATGCCTCTGGATCTCATAAAACCCAGTGCCGTTGAATCAATTCCGACTCATAGCAACCCTACAGGACAGAGCAGAACTGCCCCCACAGGGTTTTCAAGGAGTGGCTGGTGGATTCGAACTGCCAACCTTTTGGTTAGCGGCCCAGTGCTTAACCACTGTACCACCAGGGCTCTGGTCCTAGTACATTTAGCATCAAGGTGGGTCCCTTTTGAAATGTGTGAAGCTCAGCAGACGGGAGTTGCAGCCTCATTGTTGTTGAACATTCTCTTAGGTGATGCTTCCTGGATGTGTTAGTTTTGTAAACTTTTGCCTTTTTTCCCTTTATTTCTGTGAGGTAAGGCTTGCAAGCGTAATTACAGCTTTCCTGTGTGATCGTTAGGGAGCCCTGATGGGTTTGTTTTCGTTTTTCTGTGTCATATTTGGAAAACCAGAGGTTCCCCCATGTAACCTAGTGGAAAGGTGCTGGCAATAAATTCTCTGTTTAGTTCTTACTGGTATATTGTCATATCCCAGATCAGTGGCGCCAGAGTGCCACTCACCTTATTAGTGGCTTATATTACCAGTCATATTTCTCAAAATCTATATCACCGACCAAAATTTTAGACACACTCAGTTGGTAAGCATGCGTTCCAATACTGAGGACACATACCATCAAAAAAATTTTTTAAATAAAAATTTGGTTAACAAAAGCACTATCAAGAAATATTGCTTTGTAGCCTATTAGGGTTATAAGCCCTTCCAAATTTCGATGTGCTGATGAAGAGGGGAGTTTTGCTCTTCATGTCTGTTTTCTATCATTGCTATGAAGATTCGGGTTTTGGGTTTTTAGTAGTGATTAGAGTTATTTGGGTCACTTTTGATTGATGAATGAGTCATTTGAAAATTGGAGAGATTTTGCAATCCAAAGCTACAATGTGTAATTATCCATAGAGAGTAGCAATGTATGGAACCAAAAACTTGATGCATAAGTTTAGATTTACGAGAACTTAAAAATGTAAAACTTACTCTTGGTTATCCTTGCTTATGTGGGGACATTTTAATACAAGTTTAGGCAGCTACAGATAATCCATACAACAGTCATTTATTTTTAATTTTCAACTTGGTATCCCATATTAGCAAAGCTGGAATAGCAAAGCCGATACCTCGAGTTTTACCTCCGTTCCTTACCCCTCCTCACTCTCACCTTTACATGAGCTCCTGACTATCAAGAGAATAACCAAACACGCATGATAAGAGGAACGTGTGGAGACGTAAACGTCACAAATAGCATAAAAGATGCTTTCAGTGTCTATCTCTGTGGGATCAAATTGACAACAGCAACTCGAAAGATTCGATAGGAAACTTAGGGAACAGTGAGGTTGTGTTAATGGGAGAGGAACAACTCAGAAAAGGAGGGTGAGAATGGTGGCACAACTTGAAGAATGTAATCAATGTCCCGGAATTGTACATGTAGAAATTGTTGAATTGGTATATGTTCTGCTGTGTATATTCTCAACAACAATGACAAAAATTATAAAATAGTAATGATAGTATAAAAGATGATAATCAAGGTCTTGAAGCATCAAAGTTGGAGTACACACAAAAAAAGTAAGAAAACTCTTCTGTGGAACCAGACCTATCAACTTCAGCTCACAGTTGGCATAGCATGGAGGGATGAAGAGTGAAGTTCCCAAACCATTAGATATTAGAAAGATGGAAACAGACATTAGGGCATCCATGAAGTTTTAAGCGATTCTGTGTGGCAGTTGTTACGTGAATTTGGTGCAATCTTGTGCGTGACCACTCACTCACTTACCCCAAACCAGTAGCACTTTGTGAAAAAACACTGAGAAGGAAGTATCCCATTTCTTGCTTCTCTCAGCTCCATTTACAGGATTTTGGAACTCAAAAGTTGGGTTTCTCAAATAAAGTGTATAACCTATGTGAAAATGCTGTTAAAAAAAAACTGTTCTTAAGGAAGATACTGTATTAACTCTCTTGATCAGGTGGAAAAGTTTGGAAAGGCTCTGAACTATGCTGAAGCAGCCTTGTCATTTATTGAGTGTGGAAATGCAATGGAACAAGGTCCAATGGAATCCAAATCTCCTTATACCATGTATTCAGAAACAGTAGAACTCATCAGGTAAGGATTGTGTTTTCTTGCTGGGACTCGAGGGTGGGGGAGCAGGTGAGGAATATATGTAAGTACTAAGAATACAGAGAATGTAAATCTACACCATCAGCCACCAGTAACCAGTGTTCATCCCAAAATATACACAGTTAAGATTTTGAAAGGCACTTTAACACACTCTGCCTCCTTTGCTCTCTTTGTGAGCAAGACAGGGCAGCTCCTATAACTCACATTGCTTCAGCGGGGCCAACACATGCCTACGTCACCAATCTAGGAAGTCATGTTTAACTCATTCCACCTCAGAGTTCCTTTTTTCACTGTGGTTCAGGCTGGTATAATCTAAATCTTACTTCCATCAATAAATTACTCAGGAGTATTCAATGAAAGGAAAGAAGGTTAGGGAGACTTTATGAAAGGAAAAGTTTAAAAAAAAAAACCATTGCCATAGAGTAGATTCATAGCGATCCTATCAGGCAGAGTAGAACTGCCGCATAGGGTTTCCAAGCAGCAACTGATGAATTTGAACTGCCGACCTTTTGGTTAGCAGCTGAGCTCTTAACCACTACGCCACTAGGGCTTCTATGAAAGAAAAAGCCATCCTGTAGTGTCCTGTCTCAGCAGGTGCTCACGTTGTTCTGGTCTAAAACTTCGAGATGAACACTGTCCCCTAACCTGGATTAAGACAGTGTAACGTGCAAAAGCAGAGTGAATTGTCCTGGTGCCATGCTGGGTTTCCAATGAGGGCACTGTTATGGATGAACTGTGTCCCCCAAAAATGTGTGTCAACTTGACTAGGCCATGTATTGTGTGGTTGTCCACCATTTCGTGACTGATGTTGTTGTTGTTAGGTGCCGTCAAGTCAGTTCCAACTCATAGCGACCCTATGCACAACAGAACGAAACACTGCCCAGTTCTGTGCCATCACAATTGTTGCAATGCTTGAGCCCATTGTTGCAGCCACTGTGTCAGTCCATCTCGTTGAGGGTCTTCCTCTTTTTCAATGACCCTTTGCTTTACCAAGCATGATGTCCTTCTCCAGAGACTAATCCCTCCTGATAACTTTTCCAAAGTATGTGAGTTGTAGTCTCACCATCCTTGCTTCTAAGGAGCATTCTGGTTGTACCTCTTCAAAGACAGATTTGTTTGTTGTTTTGGCAGTCCATGGTATATTCAATATTCTTCTCCACCACCACAATTCAAAGGCATCAATTCTTCTTCGGTCTTCCTTATTAATTGTCCAGCTTTTGCGTGCATATGAGGCAATTGAAAACACTATGG